AAATACATCTCCTCTCGCTCCACCCAATTTCCTGCCAGCCAGAGAGGTGGAGCTCCCAGTTCTAAGTGGTCAGTGAGGGCCTCCGGGTCAGGCAGGCAGAGAAGCCTGCAAAGGGAGTGTGGAATAGAACAGAGGGGGGAAAAAGAGGAGGTACAAGCCGGGCGAAGAGAGGGCAACCGGGGAAGCCAGAGCAAGTCTGCGGGGTGGTGATGAGGGGAGAGTGGGCTTGGCAAATGGGAAAGAGGAACCGGCCCCCTTCTCTAGTCCTGTGTGTAAAGGACACCTTCAGTCAAGGGCCGGCTTGCAGGTTCTCCGATAGTGATCTGATCCTCACTCAGCCTAGTTTCAACCTGTGTAACTCCTTCAAGTTACAGTCATGCACTGCATAACAACGTTTCAGTCAATGATGGAACACATATACCAAGGTGGTCTCAGAAGCCTCTAACAGAGCTGAAAAATTCCTCTCCCCTAGTGATTTGTGTTACCGTTGCCTACAGTGCAGAAATGTGCCATACAGGCTTGTAGCCTAAGAGCGATAGGCTACTCCATACAGCCTAGGGGTGTAGTAGGCTGTACCATCTAGGTTTGTTTAAGTACAGTCTGTGATGTTCACACAGTGAAGAAATTGTCCAAGATGCATGTATTTAAATCACCCACCGGCCGGGCCTCCCTTTCCCCGTCTCCAACCTCCAAGTAGAATACTTCTCTGGCAAGGGTTCCTGGCAGCATAAAGGGCATGCTAGTGATTTCTTCTCTGGGGGGCTCTGCTAATGGGACTCCTGGAATTTCCCAGGACTCCTGGGGCTGCTGGAGGCTTAGGGTGCCCAAGAAAGGTGCTCCTTTCATCCCCCTTGTACTCCTGCCCCAAGCATTCTTGCCGCAACCGACAGCCCCTCTGTAATAGCAAGTAGCAGATTACCTGGGCAGAGAGGTGGCCAGAGCAAGTCATTGACATGGGATGCTATGGCCAAGAGCTCAAGGAAGTGATGTGTGTTCTGTTGTATGTTTTCTTGTGGGCTGGGGAAATTAGAGGGAAGGAAGCTGATGTGTATCGGAAGAGGAGAATATTAACAAAGATACCATGTATTGAGGCATATGGCCAGGGTCTGTGCTAATGTTTTAAGTATATTCTCATTTAGTCAACACAGTAATCCCGTTTCACAGATGCAGGTAGCACTTGCATCACTCTCTAGCTCCGGACCCTGCTTTGTTGTTGTTGTGGTTTTTTAAATGCTTGTTACCTGATGCTATAATATAAACTGCATACCATCTTCTCCACAAGATTGTAAGTTCCATAAGGGCAGGAATGTTATTGATCTGTTCACTGTGGTACCCTTACTTGCTAGTACAATGTCTGGCCCATCATAGGTGCTCATTAATTGTTCCTCAAATGTATGAATAAAGAGAGTCTCATAGAGTTCAGTAGTGGGTCCAAGATAGAGCTCATGATCACATCTATTTGTCAAGTTTTTCTGAGGGTTAATGAAACCATGCAGACATACATGCTTAGCACAGATCCTGGCACATAATAAGCACTCAGTATATGTTAGCTGTCACAATAATTTTCAAGGTCTTCATTGGACCACTTTCTTGTCCAGGCCCATTAATTTTAGAGCCCTTCCTAAAGTGGATCATAGAGCCCATTCTCTGGTCCCACTCAGAGTGAAAGCAATTGTTTTGGTGGAGAGTTTCTGGGCTTGCAGAAAACAATCAGCCCATTTTGGAGGCAGGACAGCTGGACTGCCATTCACTTCCTCTCCTAACCATCCCCAAACCCACCCAATTGTGGCCAACGTTGAGCCACTCTTTCTGGCTTGCTGCTTTCATCTTAAGCCCTGCCCCCTCGCACTGCTGCACCCTAAGAGCGTCTTTTGGCCCTGGTGCCTCTGCCCACCAGGAGAGGTCAGGAGGTACCCAAGCCTCCATCAAGGAAGGGTGCATGGAGCCGTTCGGAGGCTCGGCAAATCTGAGGAAAGGCACATGACCTCATCTGCTCCTGACCCCAGCAATGCTTAGATCAATCAGCCAGGTGAACTGGAGGGAGACCCTGGCCACAATAGCATTTACCATCCACCTGGGAAAGCCCAGTGCAGTTAAAAGCCTATTTCTTTTTCTCTCGCAGATATTGATCTACTTAGCTTTGTGCCAGACTGTTTGCTGGTAATTAATTTCAGAGTCAGTGCAAGGGCTGGCAGTTAACATCACTTTCCCGAATGCACAGCGGCCTCCCTCCAAACTCATAAAGATGATGTGACTGCCTCTGTCAGCTACCCGGACTGTGCTGTGACTTCAGTATCTTACATTTGGGCTGACTTTAAGTGCAGGACCTGGACTCCGTGTTCTGTCACATTGCTAAGTAAGGGCCATGATGATTAAAAAAAGAAAAAAAATCCAATGTTTTTTCCAATTCCTTGATCCTGGAAAACAGGAAATGATTTTGTTTGTCTTTCCTTCAGTCCACATGAAAACCTTCTGCTCTTCCTGGACCTGGCTCTTGTTTTGACTTTGCCATTAGCTAGCTGTGTGATTCTGGCTCTCACATCCCATCTCTGAAGTGGTTTCCTCATATGTTCAATGAGGGGTTTGAGCTAGATGATGTTAACTAATATCTGTACGGTGCTTTACATTTTATGCAGCATTCAAACCCACACTGACTCAGTTTGCCATTTATAATTGTCTAGTCTTGGTCTGTGTCTCGGTTTCTTTGTCTGAAAAATGTGGATAATGTTAGCACCTCCCCGATGGGGTTGTGGTAAGGATTAAAGGAGCTTAGACATATGAAGTACTCAGACCTGTGGCTGCGCCTGGTAGATGTTAGCTGTTGCCCCCAGCACCATCATCACTGCCTCATAGCAGCCCTCTTTATTTTTCCCATCTTACAGATGATGAAGCATTTGCTCCTAAACTGCTTAATAATTGACAGAGCAGGGATTCACCTGCAGACTTTCCCGTTTCCTCGAGGCTTTCCTAAGAGGCTAAGTGCCTGGGGAAACTGAAGAAACGACACATCCAATTGCCCCTCTCCCCGCAAGAGGAGGGCAATGGTATTCAATGTGTGTGCTCTGCAGACAGCGAGGCTTCCCTCGCATGCCGCCTTTTTTCCCAGGAGGCTGCTGTTCACTCTAGTTCCCTGAGCAGAACCCCAGAGACCACAGTGTCCTCTCCTGGACATCCACCGTTTCCAACTTCTCACCACAACCTGCTTCCTTTCAGGCAAGAAAGTACTAGAGGCGGGTAATTAAGTCATTTATAACTATTTTCATGGTGGATCTTTACTGCATTTTTAAAAAAGCAATATTTATGTCCCTTAGACATTTCTGAGAAGACTTAGCTGTTCTTTTAAAAACATCACTTCAGCGCCAATGAAAAATATAATCCAGCCTTAGTAATAAATTTTTAAAACATACACACACAAAATTTATCAGCCTGCAAAACAATGTTTCCTAGCCTTCCCACACGTCTCAGTATTTTAACAACGTCCCATCTGTTGATGTCAGTCTGAAGAAGCAGGTCTATAGTCTCTAATTTTATTAAAATCCTTTCTGGCTAGTAACCTGATTTCTATTAGGCTGGCCTACTTATTTCCAGGCCCCAGGCCTGTGGACCTGTGCCAATCTGCATGACTGACAGAAATGGGGATGGTTAATCAAAAATCTGTTTAGCGTGTGCTTAATAAGGAATGTTTTCTCTTGCTCTTGTTACTAATTGCTGAGGATGTCTGTGTTTGGATTAAAACTTTGTCCCCTGCCATCTGGATGCCATTGATATGTCTCAGCTCAGTCGTGAGCCTGGTGATATCAGTGGTTTCCATGTCAACAGATGACAGCGTCATATGTTGAAACGTGTGATTGCAGTGCACAGTGAAGGAGCCAGCTTTGGGAAAGAGGAAGCTCTGGTTTCACACCTAAATATCTTCACTGATTTTCAGACATTGCTTTGAAATTATTTCCGTTTTGTGCCAATTACATTTACATGTAAAATTGCAGCGCAAATGTTTTTGGCCATTTGGGAAAGGAGACAATGGGCTTATTGGTACCTATAGTTCCAATTAGTGGGAAAGACATTTTCTCAAAGAAGTCTTTTAAAATCTCCAGCTGATAGGAAATCTGTTTACTCTCTGAATCCAAGCAATGTACCATATACACTAAGTGGCAATCTCAGGTGAAGCTGGGAAGTCTGCATGTAAGGGCAGCAGTGGTATCTTGCTAGCTATTTTCCGAGGGGACCCCGGGACTCAAGGTCTTGCTCATGCAACCTGTCTAAATATAGCATCAGCAACAGCACTCAAGAGACAGTACTGAAATAATCAAGAAAAAAGAAAGAAAGAAAGAAAGAAAGAAAGAAAGAAAGAAAGAAAGAAAGGAAGAGAAAGAAGAGAAAAGAGAAAAAAGAAAAGAAAAAAGAAAGGAAGGAAGGAAGAAAGAGAGAAAGAAAGAAAAAGAAAGAAAGAAAGAACCCTTCAATTTAGCTCTAGTCTGCAGTGTCCAACACAAGATTAATAGCAGATGAATTTTAATCATCTTTTCTTTCCTTTCTTTTCTTTCCTTTTTTTTTCTTGAGACGGAGTTTCACTCTTGTTTCCCAGGCTGGAGTATGGCACGATCTCAGCTCATTGCAACCTCCGCCTTCCAGGTTCAAGCGAGTCTCCTGCCTCAGTCTCCCAAGTAACTAGTATTACAGGCATGAGCCACCATACCTGGAGAATTTTGTATTTTTTGTAGAGACAGCTTTGACCATGTTGTTCAGGCTGGTCTCGAACTCCTGACCTCAGGTGATCCACCTGCCTTGGCCTCCAAAGTTCTGAGATTACAGGCGGGAGCCACCGTACCCGGCCTTAATCATCTTTTCTAGGAGTTTCGTGATTTTGGTTAAGAAAATAGATCATTGCAAAATCGTTTCCTTATGAGGTAGACTACAGTAGCAACCACACACACAAAAAATATTATGTGAACCTAAGAAAATGAACCTGATAGCAGCCTACTTTATTTATTCTTCCTTAGATCAAGAATGCTGCAGCCAATGTCCTTCGGGAAACATGGTTAATCTATAAACACACAAAGCTGCTAAAGAAGATTGACCATGCCAAAGTCAGGAAACACCAGAGGAAGTTCCTCCAAGCTATCCACCAGTGAGTATGCCAGAGTGGTTCAGCCATCAGATAACCAGATTGGGAGCAGTGGGACTCCTACAACTGTCAGTAGCTTCTCATATACTTCGGAGGCACAGAAGAAATCCATTCTGTTCCACTCAACAAGTGGAGTGGTGAAGTGGGTCTGATCACTCACTCACTGCACCAGCCACATGCCAGAAATTGGGCAGGCTGTTATGGAAGGTAAAAACTAGAGTAAGAACCTCTAAGGGCTTCTACATTCTACACACACACCCACACATACATCACACACACCATAAACACCACACACAAACACCACACACACCTCACACACACCATACACACCACACACCACACACACCACACACCACACATCACACACACCATATACACCACACACAAACACTGCACCACACACACACCACACACACCACACACCATACACCCCACACCATACACCCCACACACCATACACACCACACACAACACCACACACACCTCACACACACCATACACACCACACACCACACACACCACACACCACACACCACACACACCATACACACACACAAACACTGCACCACACAAACACCACACACACCACACACCATACACCCCACACACCATACACACCACACACCATACACCCCACACACCATACACACCACACACAAACACCACACACACCCCACACACACCTCACACACACCATACACACCACACACACCACACACACCACACACCACACATCACACACACCATATACACCACACACAAACCACACACACCACACACACACACACCACACACCACACACACACCACACACACACACCACACACACCACACACCACACACACCACACACTACACACACCTCACACCATACACACCACACACACCTCACACACACCACACACACCACATACCACACACACCACACACCATACACACCACACACACCTCACACACACCACATACACCACACACCACACACCACACACAAACACCACACACACACCCCACACACACCATACACACCACATACACCACACACCACACATCACACACACCATATACACCACACATAAACACCACACCACACACACACCACACACACCACACACCACACACACCACACACCATACACACCACACACAAACACCACACACACCCCCCACACACACCTCACACACACCATACACACCACACACCACACACACCACACACCACACCACACACACACCCCACACCACACACACACACCACACACACCACACACACCACACACCACACACCACACACACCATATACACCACACACAAACACCACACACACCCCCACACATTTCATACACACCACACACCCCATGCCACACACACACCACACATATGACACAAACAAACACAACACACACACCACACACATACACACCACACACTACACACACACACACCCACACCACACACCGCACACAGCACGCACACAGCACACAAACCACACAAACCACATACGCAAACCCACACACAAACCACACATCAAATGCACTACACACACCATACACACCACACACACCCTCTACACACCACACACACAACACACATGACCCCCACACACCACACACAGCACACACACACCAAACACACCATGCACACACAAACCACACAAACCACACACACACCGCATACACACACCACACACACCACATACCCCATACACACACCACACACAATACACATACCACACACACGCCCCCACACACCACACAAACACAACACACATAACACATACCACACACACCGCACACACACCCCATACACACACCAAACACACCACACACACACATGCCCCCATACATACCACATAACCACACACACACCCACACACACAAACCACACACCAAACACGCCACACACACACACACCACACACACCATACACCCCACACACATACCACACACATTACACGCACCACACACACACACCACACATACGACACACACCACAAACACATGCCACAAACACACCCATACACACACCACACACACCACACACACCCCATACACACACAACACACAACACACATCACACACACGCCCCCACACACCATACACAACACATACAAACACCATACCACACAGACAAACCACACACCACATGCCCCCCCCACACACCACACACACACAAACCACACACACACCACATGCCCCCAAACACACACCACACACACGCCCCCACACACAGCACACACACAACACACATAACACACACTCACCACACAAACCACACACAAAATACACACACATGCCACACACACACACAGAACACACACACACACACACACACACCCCATGCATTGCAACTCAAATCAAAACAAACTGTGGCTGATGCTTTCTGTGATGGGGGAGTTTTTAAAAGTGGAAAAGCAAAGGATGAAAACATTTATTCTGATGGAGAGGTTTGGGGAACCCCTGAAAAATTGAGAATAAGGCACTCAAGATGGAAGGCACAGCCCAGGCATAGAGGCAGGGAAATGATCTGGGAATAGCAAGAAACCAGTGACTGAAGGTGAGCATGCGTTGGGACCCCTGGGGGGATGTGACAAGCCCCTGGAAAGTAAAAGCCTCAGTTCTTCCCCAGGTTCACGGTCCCCATGCTGGGTTCCAAAATCAGAGGCAGCGGAAGGGCTAGAGGATCTGCTGGTGAGGCGAAGCCTTTGCATGAATTTGAAGGGCTTGCCTGTTATCACTCTTCCCCACAGGTTGAGGAGCGTCAAGATGGAGCAGAGGAAGCTAAGTGACCAAGCCAACACCCTGGTGGACCTTTCCAAGGTGAGTGGCAGTGTCTGGAGACATCCCCTAGAACGTGCAGACACCGAGTCTTCTCAGGCTCACCTGTGAGTCTTGCCTGGGTTTGCACTGGACAGAGCAGGACCAGGCAAGCAAACACAAATTTCTGCCTGGTTCAAAAATACCTATGCTCCAGTTTGTTCCATTTGCAATCTACCGGTATGTCTTGTGGTCTTTTAAAACTTGGCATTTGTTTTTTAAGTGAAATCGCTCAGGTGTGTCTTTGCGTGGAATTAATGAGCTGACCGAACCTTTCCCGTGTCATTTTATGAGCTGCACACTGAGGGACTCCTGAGGTTGGGCTTGAGTTTGCACGGCTGTGAAGCATGCTAGCAAGGACCAGACGGCGACGATAGCCATGCTGACTGCCCAGGTCACACCGGTTTGCTGTGATACTTGGAACTTCATTTTTGTGCATCCTCCAATCCTTAACAACCAGTTTTTCTGGCCTGAAATTGGTGGCAGTGGTGTGTGTGGCGGGGTGCATTTCTTTACTTCTCAAGAGGCAGATAGCCTACAAGGAACATGAAGATACCCAAAGAGAGAACCCTCCTTTGAGAGTCCTAGGGCGTGAGGCTCGCCATCACTCGGCCACTCTGTTTCTGGCCCTGAGCTGCCAAATACTGTAAAGAAACTCTGTCCTCTTGCAAATCACCCAGGTGAGGGAGCTGAAGGCCACACTGCTGGCAGAGCTGAGAGTGGGTGCCACTGAAGAAAGGGCTTCCCCCACCTCAGCCCTCTCCTCATTGCCTCTTGATAGGAATTGTATATTAAGCGGACAGCCCAGGGCCAGGCTGGCAGAACATTCCAGCAGATGTCAATTATCATAATGGAACACATTCCCTGGGTAAGCAAGAGAAACTCCCTCAGGCACATTAAGCACCCTTTGAAAAGAGTGCAATCAGAGAAATCACTAGTTGTCGGGCCACGTGCAGGCGCCTTGTTTAATAAAGGGATTGAACAAAAGAAAGGGCCTCCTAAACCTGTGAGGACTTCAATCGGGGAGTAAGCAGCTTGGCACAGTTGGGGAGAAGCCTCCAGGCCTGCGTGCCTTTGGAGGAGGGCATTCACGTGGAGTGCAGGGTGGTTCCTAGGAGCCTGCGGTGGGAGTGGAACGTGGGCATGCAGGAGAGAACTCCCTCAGGTTTTTGGGTGTGTTGGTTTTAATATCAGAAACCTGCAGGGACTAGGTTTAAAAATGGAGAAATCTATTCTAAGGATATAAGGGAGTCTCATTCCAGGCAGAACCTCAAAGGAGACATGTGGCCAGACTGCAGGAAGGAACTGACTTGAACCAGACCTGGGAAGCCCCTACAACCAGGAGGTCTCTCACCATCGCTTCTGTCTCTTTCTGTACAAGTGGCTGCTTCAGTTCTCTCTCCCTCTCCCTGTCTCTCTCTTCCTCTCCCTCTCTCTCCCTCTCTTTCTCTCCCTCTATGCCTCCCATCCCCACAACAGACTGTAACAGGCTCCAATTCAGAGAGTACATATGATAGTTTTAGCCACAGGTAAAGACTAATTGGCCCCCTACTAGTCTTAATTCTAAATTCTCAGAAGAGAAGAAATGATTGGCCAGTTTGGGCCATGTATCCACCCTGGGACCAATCAGCATTGGCCAGGAAGAGGGTCATATGGAGCAAACAGGGCTAGAGGCCCACCTGTGAGCTTCAGGAACAGCCCAACAAGATGCCCCAGGATGTTTCTTCTATGAGGAGCAGTGTTTCCTGTCTCTCCTCTCACCTTGCAGGACACACTGTGACTGATGTTCCCTGGGGACATCGGGCAAACCCAACTTTCAAACCTGCATTTCTGCAGTGCCACCCATGGCCTCTCGGAGAGATGGGGCCCACAGAGCAGACTGGGTGAAGCGAACCCCTCAGGGAACTGGAAAGACACTCCTGTGAGTTGGGTGGGGGAACTAAGCTGTAAATAACCCAGGAGCAAGTTACCTGGAAAGAAAGAGTGTGCAGGAAAGGATTAAGGGAAAAAATCTGCAGAACCCCCATGGGGAGATCTGGGGAGGAGGTGAACTCTGACATTCGCCCAGTCTTTGTCTTTTCCTCCCAGGAGACTCACCCAAGGTCCTGGCGGCAGCTTAGCACACTTCACACTGGTCCATATTCCCCCTGGCATCCTGTCACCAAGCAACGGAACAGGGGGAGACGATAACGCCGTGTTCTCTCTCTTTTCTGTCTTTGTGCTGTAGCCTCCCAACTCAGCGCCTTCCCACTCCTGCCCTTTGGTCCTCTCTAAATTAAGAATATGGCATGTGGCCTCCACATATTATGTCTGTATTGAATTGCTGTCCTATAGGCTGGCAGAGCTGGGAGGGCTTGGAGTCTTTCCCCGATTGCTTCAATTACTTCAGCTGAAATATAAAAATAATTCCTACCATCGGAGGCTCAGGTGATCGAATAGGATGATATCTGTGAAAATGCTTTGTAAACTATAAAGGTTTTGCAAATGGTAGTTCTGATTATCAATATAGATGAGGAAACCAAGATCCAAACGAACAAAGTGACCATCCCACAGACAGGCAGTTGGTGAGCACCAGCGCAGGGGCCACGACCCAGAGGCTTGGACTCTGAGTCCAGAGCTCATCAGGGTACCCCTGTGGTCAAATGAAATGGGTGATTTTGCACATTCCGGGAAGAATGTGCGCCTCGAAGAGGTTCTGTCATGTTGATTAATAAAGGGAGTACTTTCACTTCTAAAGTCGTCCTGTCCTCCAAGGGCATCCACAACACGGTGTCCTGCTCTGGCCACAGCGGAGCTCATGGGGGCAGGGCCATCTCCATGCCACCTCGTGACCTTTCCTTATGCTGCCCCAGTGATTTCCCCGTGGGGCCTGGAGTCTGCTGGGGAGGCCTCACTGCATTTTGCATCCCTGCTCCCCTTCATTCTTCTCTAGCTTCTCACATCTTCTTTCACTCCTCTTTTTTCCTCTCACCTTACTTGCTGCTGCTTTGGTCCCTGGGGCATAAGTCGTTTCCACGTCTTCCTAGAGTAACCTGAAATTTCAGGTGAAATAGGACTGGGGTTTCACCGGCAGATCACCAGAAACCCAAAGAGCCACAGTACCTCAGGGATGACTAGGCGACCACCAGCCTGGCCCTCTGCATTGCCGCCCTAGGAGCCTCACTCCCTGACACGTGGGAGGCTGAAGACGCCCATGAATCTTGTTCCCAAGTCTGATGTACACAGCCAAGGTGGCATTTGCTAATTTGCGGGGAGAAAAATATCTGTTGCATAGACTGAGACCCTGCAGACCAACAAGGGGGCCACGAGATGTTGGGGAAGGAGCACTGGTAATCGGTTGGCACCCCTGGAACACGGAGAGTCAGTGCTGAATGCAGGAGGGGTACTGGGGAGCTCTGCGGGGAGCACCCTCAGGACCCCTGCCAAGGAGTGAGGGAAGCAGGATCGGTCAGAGGGAGAGTTTGAACTGGGATACAGTCAACAAAGACCTCAGCCCTTCAGAGTGGCCCTTCAGGGATGTCCCACCCTGAGGCATTGTGGATCAGACAGGGGAAGGGCCACACCTTAGCAAGGCAGCCCCTTTGGCTAAGCACTGTGCTTGAGAGTTAATTCACTTTACTTCCTGGATGCTGTGTTAAAATAGAGGTTGGGAGATGTGCAATAACTCCTAACTGTGTATAGTTATTATTAACTCCAATTGTATAAAGCAGTCGAGATTGAGAGAGGCCAGGCGCCTGGCAGAGGGCACACTGTTAGTGAGCTGCAGATGTGTACTTGAGCCCTGGCCTACTAATTAGACACCCACTGCACTGTCCATTCCCCACCAGTGTCTTCTCTGGAATCATTAGATGCCAGCAGCCACGTGAGCTGAGAGGTTGTGGCCCTGTCTCTAAAGAGACAATTTAGAGACTCACTTTATTTAAGAAAAAAAGGGGCCACTTTGTTCCCTCTCGGTGCATATTTTCTAATAAAATGCTGTCATTAATACTCATTATTTTTGTAATAAGAAAACGCAAATGTGCACACTTCAGCCTCCCTGTCCCCAGGAAAGAAGCCTGTATCCTTCCTTGACCAGATCAACTGGTGTGGAAGTGGCTCCTGTCATACTGTGGAGGGCATTTCATTTCTCCCATTGCAGATTCCTCTGTGATGACCTGTCATCTCCCTGTCTCTCGCCTCTCTCTCTCCACACAGATGCAGAATGTCATGTATGACTTAATCACGGAACTCAATGACCGGAGCGAAGACCTGGAGAAGCAGATTGGCAGCCTGGAGTCGAAGCTGGAGCATCTCACCGCCAGCTTCAACTCCCTGCCTCTGCTCATCGCCGACACCCTGCGCCAGCAGCAGCAGCAGCTCCTGTCTGCCATCATCGAGGCCCGGGGTGTCAGCGTGGCAGTGGGCACCACCCACACCCCAATCTCCGATAGCCCCATTGGGGTCAGCTCCACCTCCTTCCCGACCCCATACACAAGTTCAAGCAGTTGCTAAATAAATCTCCCCACTCCAGAAGCATTACCCATAGGTCTTAAGATGCAAACCAACTCTCTCCTGGTCGCTTTGCCATCAAGGAACATTCAGACCAGGGAACGGAAAGAAGAGAGACCGAGCTAATTAACTAACTCATGTTCATTCAGCGTGCTTGGTCCGACATGCCTTGAAACCAGAAATCTAATCTCTGTTTAGGTGCCTCTACTTAGGAGCGGGAAGAGGAGATGACAGGAAGCGACGCCTCTGGCAGGGCCCTTGCTGCAGAGTTGGTGGAGAACAGAAATCCACGCTCAATCTCAGGTCTTCACGCGGGGGGTGGGGGTCAGATGCACTGAAGTAGCCAACAGTGAAGCCAGTCCAGAAGAGGGGTCCCCTGGGAGAGGGGGTCGTGTCAGGCTTGGGGGATGGGCTCTTCACCATGGGGGTCTTTGAACACACCTCTCTCCTTTCCTTTTGTCTACGGAAGCCTCTGGGTGACAAAAGTAAAAGAGAGCTGCCCACAACTTGCCAAAACAGATATACCCAAATCAGACTGAGAAAGAAAAAAAAAAAAAGACACAGACAAATAAAAAGCCAGATTTTCCACTCAATATTAATACCCACATAAACCTGTGTGTTTGCAAACATGTACATGTACACACATACACATCCCACATTCGGTTCACGTCCTTTCTTATTTGAGCTTAATCCAAATAAAAAAGGACTTGACACCTTACCCTACACACAATAGGCACCCCTTACGTGTGTGTTGAGTTGGTTTGAATCTGAACATGGGGTGCTTTCAGTTCAGGTAGTTAGCTAGTTCTGGCCACATTCTGAGTCTCACTGAAGATGTGGGTCCCTTCAGACATAATGCACATTGCTTTGTCCTGGATATGCACCTTGCTTGATTTGAAATGGATGCCAAGCCAAAATTGTTGGCATTCAGGAGGGATAAGCAAGCTTCTAAAAATAACAGCCTCTGCAGAGTTTTCTTCTTCCATCCAAACAAGCTGTGTTTTGATGGACCACAATGACTAGGTGTATGTCTGTATGTGTGGAGGGAGAGGACAAGAAATTGTGCGTGTGTGTGCAGACATGCACAAACAGGAGCAACCCCATAACACCTTAGTGAATAGAAGTATGGTTTGGGGATTTGCTGAGCTGTATTTATCCAGCAACAGGTTTCCAGCCCCAGATGTTAGAAGTGCAAAAGGGCCAAGTGCCTCACTTGTGAGCCTCTGAGCTAGGAGGAGAAGTGATGAAGAGTGGCCCATGTGGTCCCTTCTACCTGACCTTAAGTCATCTCAAAATGAAATATTGTGAGAATGAAGGGAACCCTTAGGGAACCTTATGGGTAAGGTAAGAGCACATGGATTTGTCAGTAGACTGTTCCTACTGTGCCATGTTAATCTTGGTGCGAAAAACTATTCCAATACATCTCAAACTCCAAGAGACTTCAGAAACATCAAGATTCAGTGTAGCGAGAGGCACTGAAAAATGTTTTCAATGCTCCATAATCTGACCACATGTAACATTTGTGATGTGAAAACCATCACTTTCTCATTCTGAGGTCTTTGGTTTCTGCCTATGGGAAATTGAATGGCACTGTATGGAGTATTTCATCTGTTGAAGGTAAAACAAAAGAGTGGTTTTTTTGCTTGTGGTTGTCATCTTGGGTTTACCTTTGTAAGAAGACATCATCACCATTCTGAAGGCAGTGGCTTGGCATGGAGATTTTTCTTCTGTAGCACTGGGCCTGTTCTTCTAAGGACAGCACAAGGTAGACAACTGTCGAGCCAAGGCCACTCTTTCAGGAAGATCTAGTCTGTTGCTCACCTTCTTCTTCCGTCTCTTGCTATTGCTGCTGCTCCTTTGATGGTTTATAGTCTTAATGGCTTGCCTTGATAATTCCTTTGAACACTTTCATTAGTTGTTTTGCATACCAGAGATGCCACACCTGCTGTTGGCTTATTTTTTTACTTGTTCTTTTAACTGTTGATTATCTGAACGTTTCCCCTCCTCGTTTTATGTCCCAAGAATGGTGCTCTTGTTTTCAGTGACAGTTCAGCTGAACATATAAGCAGATGTGTAAACAGATGAAATAACCATGCAGTTTCCTTGTGGCATTAGTTCCATTTCACAAAGTGAAGACCACTGGTGGGCTGATCTGAGTGTGCCAATCCTGATGATTTAAACCGGCAGCCTTCAACTAGTGATTCCTATTCACCGTTTTCATTCTGCTGTAACCCTGTGATATGTGTGTGTGGGGGTGTGAGTGTGGGTGTGTGCACATATAGAGATTTAGTCTTAATTTCAACCAGATGACATGCAAGATTCCACTGCCATTCTTCCTGGCCAAAAGTGCGCATCGACTGTGATTTATTCATTGTGGTCTGCAAATAATTCTTCTTTAACCCATCATTGATACTCTCACTTAGCTAAACCCTAAAGACCAAACTAGCAACACTAGTCAAGGGAGTGATTGGAGTTATTTCCGGTAGCAGTGGCCACTGGCATCCTAGAAACACATGGACATTTGTAGCATGAATTGACCTATTGGTAGTGCAATAGCTATACATGATTTTTATTCTTGGCAAAGGAATACTTATGCTTCCAAAAAAAAGTGATCGAACCTGCACATTGATCCTGTAACAGCAAATGGAAGGCTATTTCTCTGTATTAGCATTTTAGCTTTATGTGGGAAAGTTACCTGTTCTCCTGCAAGTACAATCAACCCTTGATGACTTAAGTATTAATTATTCTGGGTGTAGCTCACCCAAGTTTTCTTCCTACATCTTTTGGCTAATTCCACCACACCTCAGCATCACAGTCAGATGGGAAAAGGGGCAGGTGGATTCTCATGTCATGCCTTCTGGTACCTTATTTTCACATTTTGTGGTGGAGGAGATTTAATTATCTGCTCAAGAACTGGGTATACATAGCCAGGTGCGGTGGCTCACGCCTGTAATCCCAGGACTTTGGGCAAGGTGAGAGGATCACCTGAGGTCAGGAGTTCAAGACCAGCCTGGCCAACATAGCAAAAACCCATCTCTACTAAAAATACAAAAATTAGCTGGGTGTGGTGGTGGGCACCTGTAGTCCCAGCTACTTGGGAGGCTGTGGCAGGAGAATCACTTGAACCCCGGAGAAGGAGGTTGCAGTGAACCGAGATCGTGCCATTGCATTCCAGCCTGGGTGACTGAGCAAGACTCCATCTCGAAAAAAAAAAATCAGCTATATGTAAAAACTATTAATTATGGTAACCTCACTCCAATACTGTACCGATCAAGATCTGCCCACTCCTAGATGACTGACCCAATGGCAGATCCCCTACTATAATCTTTCTGACAACTCAGTGACAGGTAAAATCACTCTAATATTCCCTAAAATATGTAGACACTTGAATTAGAAATATGGAGCCACCCCCACCCCCGCCATTGCTTAAGCCATATTATAGCTTCATGTACTGTAAAGTCAGGGATGTACTGTGATACTTTAAGACCACTAAACTCAGTGGAATTTCAGGACATAGCATTAGTTGGTAAATTACACCAGACTAGGGGCTCACTCCTCCTTAGATTGAAGTCCAAATAAAAGTCTTCACCTTTGGATCAAAGGCCACATATATATGATCATCATAATAAATTGTCATAAAGTGTCTACAAACTGCTCTTGCCATCTTCCTAATACGTAACTTCATGATATCATGTCTCTAGAAGTGCTTAATACAATCCAAAAGAACAAGAGGGGGAAGGCCCCAAGTCACCACTGACCGACCTCAGCAGGGGCCAGTGGTAGAACAACAATCTTGTGAATTAGGAGACATAGAAAATGCATGCAAAAGTAAATTCCAAGCGCTGAGCATGTACAAGCTATTTTTATTATTAAAAGCCAAGAAGGAAGAGCATTGAAGAAGTAATGATTTTAATATATTGGGGGATTTCCCCCTTAAATTTTTATAATTTCCTTATGAATAAACAATCATGGAAAAGAAGAAACCTAGTCATACAAAATCAGAATAAATAAAAATCTAAGACTGGATCCACATCTTTGGCCAATTCATATAAGCACCTCATACATCAATTTCTCTGTACTTAAAACGAAGAGAATAGTTAATATTCTTAAGTACAAAGTATTCAATACAGAACAAATGAAATCACCTTTGTCATCAACAGCCACCCAGACTGATTGTGTCTAGTTCACACCTCGATGTTACGTTTGAATGCAATCAATTGTTACCAAAAAGTAATTAGTGCATATTAAATAGTGGTAAAATCAGCAGGGAGAAATATGGGATTAGCACATAGTTCCAGAACCTTCCTCCTCCTCCAGAGTGCAGCTCAACAAACAGTACACTCCAAATTAAGAATCAGTGTTTCATCCCAGGACAAACGGTGTTGCTCCCATCACAGTACCACAACTGAGATACTGTGAAGTCATTGCACTACCAGTAGGTTACTACTATTTTTAAGTTACTGTTTTTAAATCCTAAAATATGTTCTCAGTTTTCTACATTCATTCTTCTTCCCCAAGAGTTGCTAGAAGCAGAGGAAGGATCCCTATTGACTCTGCAGGGCTTGATTTCAGTACCTTAGACAGCTATCTGGTGACTTCCCAGTAGGCACGAACAGCCCTTTCTCTCCCCTTGCAGTCAGTGGGCTTGATGATGCCCCAGACAGTATCCTTTCCTTCTCTACTGCCGCCAAAATCAACATTAGGGAATGGGATCATTAACACCACTGAGAAAGAAGTTTACAGGGATAGCAATAGTAACTGTCTGCTTGTGGTAGTAGAAAGCTTGTGTCAGGCTGCATGAATAGAAATTAACGTTAAACTCCTGTTAAACAAGTAATATGTAGATTTTTATTGAAACAGACCACAGCTTATTAAAAAGTACTCAGCGCAATGGTATATACATATATACAGATAGAAGAAATATAACTGTGATCTTTTTGTCTTACGCCATTACTGGAAACACCCAAACATGAACTGGAGTTCCCTCTGAACAAAACCATTGTCAAATCTTCAACATATGACCTCCAAATCTAGGTGCCAAGTGCCCTGTGACAGTTGTTTACACACCTGAAAAATGTATCCTGGAAGCTGTAATCTTGGGCCTGGGCTATGTGTTGAAACAAGCAAAAGAGATATCGTGACCAACCAAACTGGTGGAGGAAAAGCACAAAATTCAACACCAACCTGCAGTTAGGATCCCAAAGAGATGCTGACATTTATAGCCAAAAAGAAAAAGTACAAATATATATCTGAATCGGATCGAAGCAGCCAACGTCCAGCTTCACACAAGAAGGACAAGGAATAAACAACATTCTCTAGCTGTGTCATATTGTCTCAATTTTTGAATCTGACCCAAGACTGATCCACCTTCATCAGATACGTTTTTAATGGCGCAACAACTCAATTTTGGTCCCAGACTCTCCATTCTGCACTGGCCACGAGAACAACAAAAGATAATGACAGGATGTTAATGGAGGAAACATTTTCATGGCAAGCTCAGAAACTGAAGTGTTTATATTCAGAATCAGATGAGCTTTAATATGAATTTGCATCTTGCCTCTGTACTGCTTGCTATTTTTTAATGATAGGAGAAAGCATAACAGTTTATTTTAAATATGAAATATATTGATATATTATAAAATATATTGTAACTTTCAATTAACATTTTGTATCAAACTAGTGTTTAGCAGGTCGACTGTCAGCCTGCTCTCCCAATGACTGTTTCTGAGTACACATCACTGTTAGTGATTGCCAGGCACCCAGATCAAGGGTCCTCCTACCACAGCCTACTGAACTGCCATATTCTAATTCTCCAAGGCCTGAGTATTAGAGACAAAAGAACATTATTCCAAGCGTAGAAGAATAATTCTACCCTAAATTCTATCAAGCCATTTCAGAAGAGATTTTAAAAGCCATCACTCCTTTAGTAGCTGTGCAAAGCCAGTTTAATAAAAGTGCAGGCTCTTTCTATATAAATTCAAAGGCCTCATTACATAAATTATATAAGTCTCAAACTCAGTCAACCAGTTTTCCTTTGACAATGTCAGAATTGGGCATAAGGAAGAGTCCTGTTTTCCTGTAACTGAAAATACTCAAAATCTTAGGCATTCCAAGTTTCTCTACGTACGTGAAACCGGGGTTGGGTTTCCAAACTACTTTACAAGGTGCAACAAGAGTCCAGTGTGCAGATGTGCTTTTCTAAATTGGCAATACCCTTGAGGGAGCAAGGTTCCCACACGTTTGTCAAGGACATGGAGCCCAGCTCCTAAGGGAATGATGGGAGGAGCCGGCAGGACATGAACAGCCAGAGCCAGCAAAGAGCTGGGCTGCCTTTTCTGCTAGCTTCCTCTAGCTGAGAGGAAATAAAGAGTTCCCGTTGAGATATTGTCCTTTATAGCAAAATTAAGAAACTCATGGAATCCACACCCCTGTTTAATAGAGCAGCTGAGACATATATGTAGAAGTTCTCAGTTCCGTCCTTCGTATGGCTAAGGCACTACTTCTAGATGAAAACGGTGTGTTTGGTTACAGGATAAAGGTTTTCTAGAATCAGTGAGCCTCTTCTCACCTAGGACCCTCACTTGCTGTTGTTGCTTTGGTGCAATATTGTTCAGGTGCAAACCAGGTTGCATCGGGGCAGATTTAACTGAGTGTATGTGTCTCTTCCCTTCCCAAGTCCTGGAAATTCACACAGATTTACAGATAGTGCAAAACAACAAGTTTTCTCCTGGGAAAAGGCTGGAATCCCTCATATTTCAATTTATGTGAACTTAAAGGTATATAAGTCTTGGGGCTCAATGACATTAGGTATTCATGCTGTTTGAAAGAGAAATGTCTAAATGCCCATTTTCAGTCTGTTTATGTAGCTGAGCCCTAACTTGTACACAAGTTTTCTTTTTATGGAGCTAAATTTTCTCAGTGCCTGTATTACTCCTCAGTTATATGTTAGGCTGAGCTCCACTAAAGCCATCTGAACTCCAGGGCACCTGTTTTTATTAGGTTACTTACTCACGGGATAATGGAAATTGGCTTATTTTCAATTTCACAATTGACTGATTAATGTAATGGTGGTAATTGATTTATTTCTTAACTTTTTTGCTACTAAATGATTTTTTCTTTTTTAAATTTTTAAAAATTATTATTATTATTATTTTGAGATGGAGTCTCACTCTGTTGCCCAGGCTGGAGGGCAGTGACGTGATCTCAGCTCACTGCAAGCTCCGCCTTCCGGGTTCACACCATTCTCCTGCCTCAGCCTCCCGAGTAGCTGGGACTACAGGTGCCCGCCACCACACCTGGCTAATTTTTTTGTATTTTTAGTAGAGACAAGGTTTCACCATGTTAGCCAGGATGGTCTTGATCTCCTGACCTTGTGATCCACCTGCCTAGCCCTCTCAAAGTCAGCCACCGCGCCAGGCCCACTAAGTGCTTTTTTTCTTTTGGTTTTTCCTTCTAACACTGCTCAGACTAAGACTTACATTTATAAAGAGCAAATATATTCTGACCTTTCCCCTCAAAGTTGTATTCCATCTAGAATCAAGGAAACAAATGTAAATTCATCATTTGGGGAAAGCAGACCTCTTGACAGCAATTCAAGTGCATGGCTATATGCTAACCCTTGCTGCTCAAAGCGTGGTCCACAGACTGGCAGCATTAGCATCATCTGTAAGCTTGTTAGAAGCGTGGTCCACAGACTGGCAGCGTTAGCATCATCTGTAAGCTTGTTAGAAATGCAGAATCTCAGGCCCCACACCAAACCTTCTTCATCAGAACTGGCCTTTTAACAAATCCCCAGGTGACCTGTATGCACTGGAAATATTGATAAGCACTGGCCTCACCTCCCCGTAGTAATAACCAAACTTATTAATAATTAGATAATGAAACTATTTCTTCCTTGAGTCTCATTTACAGAATTATTTGACCATGTGAAGGTCCTGAATGATCATAAGGATAAAAAAAAATGCATCTTAAAATTCCACTTGAGGTTATATAACATGGATGGTCTACATCAAACATAATAAAGTCAATAAGAGATAGTCTTTTTCCAGTCTTCATATCCTTGAGCCACCTCAAAGCCCCCATTTTTAAGTTTTAGCCTTTTTTTTTTTTTTTTTGGCCTAGGCTAGCAGGGACATCAGAACATCAGGTGGAACCTCAGGGCAGGTCCTCTGGAAGGTTATAGGGGTCTCTGCTTAGCATAGTACAGAAATTGTTGTGTTTCTTGATGCTTGTGTTCTTCCCTTGAGGAACTCAGCATCTCGCCAGTGAGAACTCTTCTCCCCTAGAGGAAACTAGCAAGATAAGTTAGTTTAACCATCTAGAAATATTGCTAATCTCCTTTAAAGCCAATTCTCTTATTCATTGCACCAACAAGAAACACTCCAAGGTGGGCAACGAAAGATGTGAATTCCGATATTGGCGCCATAACTCGATATGTACCCAGAAACAGTTATGTTCTAAATTAATGGCTTTAATCTGTTCATTGTAAAAAGTGCCTTGGACTTCAATCTAAAGAGGTCAGTATAAATATGTATGTGTGTGTGTGACGTGTATGTAGGCAAATATTTACAGATTTATACATACATAGGTACACACACATATACCCGCACATTCATATATAATATATACATACATATATAAATGCTTCATAATATTATCATATTGCTATTCACAGCTCCATTTCTTTTGTCTGGTCCTATGTTTATTTGTTTAGTGAGACCTTTACATAGAGAGGTTCTATTCGCAACATGGATGTATTTTTTGTTTGTTTTTTACTTTTTATTAAAAAGGTAAAGGATATTAAAAAAAAAAAAAAAGTCAAGTGCCTGAAGGTTTTGAATGGAGTTATGGTAAACTTTCTCAGGTCACCAAAGAGGAAACTGATTTTTCCTTTGGAAAACATTTTTCTGTTTCAGTGACTTTGTTTTCCCTTGGTGGTAATGCATAAATAAGAGTGGTTACAGTGATTTTGTAAGTTTTATTTCAATCCATTTCTGTGGTTCCCATAAGTCAACAGCTAAAAATTTGTTCAGTCTAGTATCCAGTTTTCTCCACACATCAGCATCAGAAGGGCCCGGTCTTCACGTGCTCTGCGCGGTTTTGTTCGCATTGTTACTGCGTTCCTTACTAAGGAAAGGCAAATGAAATTGCAGGGGCTGGAGCTTAGACCAGCTCCAAATATGGCTTCCTTTTAGTAACACACACAGAAGGTGGACTAGTGGGAAGTCTCTCTCCCTGAATCAGGTGGGAACCTGTGTCTTAGAAGGTAGAGGAGTCCAGTGAACTCTCCACAGCTCCATGGGCCCTGCCTGTATACAGTTATACAACTGCCTGTATGAGTCAGCCTTTCTCTACCTTAGCCAAAGGTCTTCTCTTTCTGTGGTATAACAGCTTGTAATGAACCAACTTGCTCTGGTTAGAAGTCCCTAGAGCTCCAGGAAGAGTCGCCAGGTTTCCACTGCTGTGCTCAAAGCTCAAGGACACATTATACTTCTTTAAACCAACTAAAGCTCTCTAGCTCCCTGCCCCCATGGTGACACTTTCATAATAGGCAGGGCCAAGTCAGAGAGGTCATGCCCTGTATACAGTGTCAATCAGAAGAGACACTGCAAAATGTCAGAGGTGACAAGAAAGACAACAGATCTCTCCCGCTGTCCTCACAGCTGCAGGCACATTTGTGGAATTGTGAGTAGGAAGGCTTGGCAGCCAGGGGATGGGAAATGAATTTCTCCAAGTTGAAAACCCTGTACCCTTACTTTCCTACCCATAAATTTTTCTGTAGTTCTAGGCAAATAATAATAATAAAAATGCAAATTAGGTGCTTTAGAAGGAGTATGTAATTTCTGGGACTTTTTCTAAGTTGGTAGACCTAAAAAATGTTTTCAAAAATAT